TTTTTATAAGGGCTCAAGAGAGTTTTAAGTAGTCATCCCCACGTCAGTTGGAAACCATTGTGCTATAAGATTTGTGATATTTCTAGAATGTAAAAGTTTTAGATGCATATGATGTACTATATAATAACTTAAAAATTCCCCAGCCTCTTATCTTCTCTGCTTATCGTTTTCCTTGACCCTGTGTTTACATTTTCGTCCATCTTGACACTTAGTTCTGTTTTAAATTTTCTCTCTACCATCTAGTTTCTCAGAGGCGTGTCTCCCTTCGTCCCGCCTTTTTTTTCATGTGTCTACTGACAAGTTACTGATTACCATTTGCTCTGTTCTCATTGGCCCTGAAATTGTAGCTTTCTTCCTAAGCTCCACTTCTTCCATTTTCTAAGACGTTTGCTGTTTAGCAGCCAGGGCTGGTAACACACTGGTGGCGTGTTCTTTAGACAGATTGAGCTGAGTCTCTCACAGAGCTTTCCTACCTTTTAATGGCCGGAGTATGAAACAACTAGCAGGGTCCGATGGAGGAAACTTTTAAGTTTTATGTTCAAAGAGTGAAGTTTTTAAGAGTCATTCTAACCAGTCTTTTTTTTTTCTCTTCTTACAGGGAAGAAGAGGAACGTTTGAGAAACAAAATTCGAGCTGACCACGAGAAGGCCCTGGAAGAAGCAAAAGAAAAATTAAAAAAGTCGAGAGAAGAAATCCGAGCAGAAATTCAGACAGAGAAAAACAAGGTGGCCCAAGATATGAAGACGAAAGAGAAAAAGCCACTGCCACCAGTTTCTATACCAAAGCTTATAGGCATAAGTGGTGGAGACCCAGAAGATACTGACATAAGAAAGAAAAGGGAAAAAATTAAAGAGGTAATAAGCTGAGATTTATGACACTGAGTAGCTGGGGGTATATATTTGACTGGAGACACGCACACGCACACCATCCATGGTGTCAGATTTTGATCTCGTTTGTTTCTGGGTCATAGTTGCAGTTCAGTTTCCAGGTTGGCAGCTAGGGCTAGAACTCTGTGTCTTTTTCTTATTATGGATTATAATATAATTATTGGACACTTAAAATGTTGATATAATGTTGTTTGGACGCTTACATCACTCACCCGGTGTTCAGAGATCTTTTAATATTCAGCATCTTATAAATAATGTAGAATAGATCTATAATTTATCACTGAATAAGAAATTTCTTCAGCGTTTGGTTATAAGGGACTCTGCTAGATACTGTGAATATCTGTCTCCTCATAAACATGCTTCTGAAGAGTTAGCATTATATCTTTTTTAAAGAACGCGTTATGAAACTCCATAACTATAAAGCAGATTAAGAATGCATTTCTTCCAAAGAGTCTCTCAGTGGATTGAAGAATGGCACAGGATTGATCTCAGAATTCTTTAAATTTGTTTAGTCATAGAAGTTTTTCGATTTATTTTAGGAATGACTTGGAGATAAAGACAATACCAGAGGAGGGAAAAATCTAGTGAATATTTCAGTTGACCCTTGTTAATTAGAACTCTTGCTGATTCTGGGTGGAGTTTGCATTCGTTCTGCCTGTGAAGATTTTGTCAGGGTGCCGTAACACCAACAATATTTCAAAGGCATTGTTTATCATAAAATATGACAATAGTTTTGTTCAAATAGTCAAATATATGTATGGCTATATTGTAGTAATGAATATGAAAGATTTAGCAGATACTTGAAGCTTGGCCTTATGAATTATTATAAGACCTTGACCTTGATGGAATCAAAATCGAGCTGGGCTCTGATTCTACCTCGTCTCTGGCGCCTGTGTTTTATGCACAGGCTGCTTACGGCACTTTCTTCAAACAGTGTCAGGGAGACATCAGTAGATTTTTTTTTCAGATGCCTGACCTGCTTTTAAAAGACATTGTTAGAATTTATTGAAATATTTTCTCATGTACGTAATCACATAGAGAGCAGTGTGTGTTTAGGGATACCCCAAGACCACCCAGAGGCTCAGCAATTTGCTGGAAGTACTCACAGAACTCAGCAAACTGTCATACTCGTGGTTTCACGTTGTTTCAGCAAAAGCATACAGATTAAATTAGTCATGGGAAAGGTGCACAGGACGGAGCCCAGGTGTAGCTTCTAGCCGTTCTCTCCCAGTGGAGTGACCGGCAGTGCCTAGTTCTCCCAACGATGATGTGTGGCAGTGTGCATGAGGTATTGCCAACCAGGGAAGTCCAACCGAGCCTTGATGTCCAAGGTTTTTATTGGAGGTTCGCCCTGTAGGCTGGGCTGAGCTTAGTTCTCCAACCCCTCCAGAGGTTAGGCTGGTATTGTGTGGCCCAAGGCCCCCACCATAAATCATATTGTTAGCTTTTGGTAAACAAAGAGACTCTCAACAAGCTGGGTAGTAAAGGTTCAGAGGTTCTTTTCCAGGAGCCCAGCACAGGCCGCCCTTTTTCGGGAATGTGCAGGGTTTGGAGCACACCATATTATCTAATGTTCTTGTAAATCAACACAAAACATGTTAAGAAGACCCTTGTGTATACTCCTGTTAAACATTATGGTTATTGACTTAGCAAGCAAAGAAAGTTGAAACCTGAGCTTGCAGGGGAAGAAGCTAACTAGAGACGCAAGGTGTTGTGAACTGCAGAACACCTGAAAGTTTCAGGAATTAGAGACCATTTCAAGAATCTGAAGGCAAGTCTGTGGCCATGCTACCCTGAACAAGCCCGATCCCATCTGATCTCAGAAGCTAAGCAGGGTCGGGCCTGGTTAGTACTTGAATGGGAGACCACCCAGGAAGACCAGGTGCTGTAGGCATAAAAAATAAAAAATAAGGGATTGTAAGCTGACGAGGTCCTTGCAGTCTGTGAGGTCAACTAAGGGTTGCCTCGCCTGAAAAAAAAAAAAAAGAATCTAAAGGCAGTGGTATGAAACAGAGCTGGAAAAGGATTACTTGCAAGATTTAAAAGGCGCCCTTGACTCCGAGGCCCCAGTTCTCACACCTGGACATCCTAGGTGCTGTCCTCCCTTTCCCAGCAGAAGACCAGCGTTGGCCTTTGGAGGGGTGAATTAGAGAAGAAATGCATTTGGGTAATGCCAGGTGTGGCTGAGGCAAAAGTGCAGTGGTCATCCTAAAACACAGAGAGAGGGATGGGGAAGAGAGGAGGAAGTAGAAATGCATTCCGAACATTAAGACCACTTCCTTCTGCTCAGCTCTCACAATCCTTGCAGCCAGGTTTACATTCAATAAGCTGGAGAATGGAGGACTTATTTCTGGGGAGACTGGCCCAAGAGAAAAGACCTACACTGTTCCTCAGTGAAACCCCCAGGTGTCGCCTGGTCACCCTAGGATGAGGCTCCATCTTGCTCATTCGCTGTGACAGCCTTTGATTGTCTTGTAAGTGCGTCACTCTTATGTGAAGAGCAAAGCAAAGATCACCAGACATTTAAGGAAAGTTTCTCACGTGAGAGAATGAAACGGTTGGAGGAAAGGAGTTCAGAGGACACAGAAGCAATATAGGAAGCAGAAAAAAATATGTGAAAAAAGAATTAACACCATTGGAGCGACAGAAACGATTACAGTTATGAAATGAGAACAGTAAGCTATAAAAAGGAATATTTACAGAATAAGAAAGAGCTCTTGGAAATTAAACGTGATAGAATTTAAAAATTCAATATTAAGAGTTGGAAGATAAAATTGAGCAAATCTCTCAGTAGACAAAAAGATTGAGATAACAAAACAAAACAAAAAAATCCAGAACAAGCGATTAGATGGATATTTTATAAAGAGAACATAGATAAGAACTCAAAGAAACAATTCAAGAATATTGGCTAAAACTAAAGGATGTGAATTGTCAGATTGAAAGGACTTGCCAGGCATCCAACAAAATGAGCAAAAAAAAGAAAAGACTCTTGAAATTTTAGAAAAAATAGTAATAAAAAAACATTTTAAAAACCAAACAAATTAAAAATCCTAAAAGTTTACAGAGAAAGAAAAAGGTTTCACCCAAAACATTGAGATTGTAGATTATGGCAAATCAGCTTCCTCAGCAATAATATTGGAAATTGGAAGTGGAGCGAAGGCTCAGAAAGAATTATATAGTCAGTCAAATTATGAATCCAATCCGAGGGTAAAGATATTTTTAGGCATTTTCTCAGGTTGTCACTGGAAACGACACTTAAACACATAAAAAAGAAGAGAAGGGATTTTGGAAACGGTGTGTGTCAGTAGAGAGAAAAAGGAAGGGCGTTCTTGGGCTCGTGAAGAAGGGACTCGGGGGGATGAAGGCCGAGCTTGGGGCGGGGAGAACAGGAGTCCAGGTTAGAGCCGCGGGATGGAGAGCGTCGGGAAGGGTGTGTCAGAGGGTAAAATGGAACTGACCGTTCCTCTGATGTGTTTGACTGTGTTGAGACAAGTCATGAAACTCATAATTTAGAAGTAAATTCATAATCGTTACATTAAAAACGAAGCAAACAAATAAACAAAAAACCAACCCCTCACAGCAGTAGTTAACAGCAGGGAAAACAAAAGTTGAACAAAGTAATGTAATAATTATAAGAAAAACATGTTTTAACTCTACTGGGAGGATGTGGGCCAGGGAAGTATGCGAGGAGCTGAGCTGATAGTGGCATAAGAGAGCCTAATTATCTTAATTGTAGGAGAATATAGTAAATATCTAAAAACTAAAAAAAAAGATCAAGAAATAGCACTATCAGCTATATTTAGAATTACAGTGGTAAGTAGAAAAAAACATTTGAAAGAGTCTAAGTAAGTACCTCAGGAGAATGGGAATTAATTACCAGCGGGGAAGGTATGGCAGGTTATTAGATTTTTAAAAAATGCAACTTCATTGAGACATAATTTAGATATAATAAAGTATACCTATTTTAAAGGTACAGCTTGATGGGTTTTGGCAGATATATACACCTGTATAACAGCAATACTGTCAAGATGTGAAGGTGTCCATAATCTCGAAACAGTGTTCTCATGCCCCTCCTCCGGTCCGGCCACCCGATTCCTTGGTCGCAGGCAACCACTGATCTGTTTAGTATCATAGATTAGATTTGTCTTTTCTAGAGTTTCAATCAAATGGGATAAGAAAGAATGTGACATTTTGTTGCCAGGCTTCTGCTCAGCATGCTGTTCTTGAGATTCATCGATATAGATTGCATGTAAAGGTAATTTTTTCTATCGTATGGATATACCATGATTTGTTTTATTCACTCACCTGTTGAACATTTGTTCAGCGTTTGTTCCGTGGCTGTTATGAATAAAGCTGGTATGTACATTTGTGTACAAATCTCTGGGTGGACATGTTTTAATTTTACTTTTGACATTTCAGTCTGGGACCTGTTGTGAGTTAATTTTTTATTTACTGTGTGAGGTAAAGGTCGTGCTTCATTCTTTTTCTGTGGGGCTTTCTGGTTGTTCCAGCACCATTTGTTGAAAGGGTTATACTTTCCCAGTTGAATTACCTTTGCATTTTTGTTCAGAATCAGTAGGCGCTGAGTCTCTTTCTGGACTCATATCTATTCCCTATGCCTGCGTGCCTATCCTTAATGCCATCTTGACATTGTGTTGGTTACTTTTTTAAATCAGATAAGTCCTCCAACTTCATTCTTTTTAAAAATCGTTGTTGCCATTCTTGGTTCTTTGCCTTTCTAGAATTAGCTTTTTTGTGTGTGAAGATGAAAGGTTGCTGGATTTTGATTGGGATTTTATTGAATGTAGATGAATTTGGAAGAATTGTCATCATAACAGTATTTAGCTTTCTGTTCCATGAGCATGTTATATCTTTCTACTTATTTAGGTTTTCTTTCATTTTTCTCAACAGCATTTTATAGTTCATAGCATATAGTTCTTGCACATATTCTATTTATTTCTAAGTATTTCATATTTTTGACGCTGTTATAAATGGAATTACTTTTAAATTCCCATTTTTGTTGTTTATTACTAGCAAGTAGAAATATATTTGATTTTGGTTTGCTGAACTGGTATTCTTTTGTTTTATTTTCCTGATACAGTCGTGTTCTCTGTGAATCAACTTTTTACCTTTTGATTTTTATGCCTTTAATTCTTTTTCTTATGATGCTCTCTAAGACTTATAATACATTGTTGAAAAGTCGTAAGAATGGACATACTTGATTTGTTCTCCAGTTTAAGGGTTAAACATTTAGTCTTTTACCATCAAGTATTTTGTTAGCAGTAGGTTCCTCCCTTCTCCCCCTTTTTAAATTAAGTTTTGAGTGTGACATTGGTTAATTATATAGGTTTCAATAGTACAATTCAATAATGAACCATCTGTATATTGCATTGTGTAAAGGGCATCCAATTGATGGTGGTGGAAGATTTATTTGAGTGTGGGTGGTGAGGGGTGGTGTTTTTGGAGATGCCCTTTACTAAGTTGAGGACGTTTCCTTGTAGTTCACTGAATGGGTGAAGTACACCCATTTTGTCATGAATGGGTGTTGAATTTTGTCTAATGCTTTGTCTACTTGTATAAAGATGATTGGATGATATTTTTCCTTTTATTCTGTTAACATGGTGAATTACATTGATTGGTTTTTGAATGTTAAATTAGTCTTATATTTCTGGGTTAAATTGCATTTGATCATTGTGTACTTATATATTGCTAATTTTTGTTAAGTAATTTTGCATCTGTGTTTTTGAGATATATTGGTTTTCGGTTTCCTTGTAATGTCTTTGCCTGGTTTTGGTATCTGAGTAATGCCGGCTGCAAAAAACAAGTTGAGAAATGTTTTTATGAATAGTGTACTGTTAAATGAATAGATTTTTGATACACCACAGTCTACTATTAAATAATTTAATTGATGTATAATTACTCTGCTGTTGTGTCGCTTATACTTCTTGGATTGTAAAAAACCCAGTTCAAACTAATTGATATAAAAATATTTATTAGCTCAGTGGCTCTGAACTAGGGCTTCAAGCTTGACTGAATCCAAGTCTGTAGATGTTAATTGTCAACATGTATCTGTCCCTTTCTCTTTCCTTTGTTATTTAGTTTCTCCATGTTGGGAGAGAGTTAGCCCCCATCAACTCCAGGATTATATATTTCTTAGACCTTGAGATTGCCACATGAGAAAGTCTCTCTGTCTCCTAGTGTCTGTAACAGTGTGTGTAAAAGGACTTTATTGCACCTACCGAATCGCACGTATCCATTCACTTTGCCTAGGTCAGGGTTGGCAAAATACAACTTGTGGGCCAAATTCTGCCTGTTTTTTAAAAATAAAGTTTAAACGAAACAGATATGTCTCATCTATGGCTGTTTTTGTGCCACAAGAGCAGAATTAAGTAGTAATTGTAGAAACTGTATGGACTCCAAAGCCTAAAATATTTAAAGAAAGGGTTTACTGATCTTTGGTCTAAGAGTAAGGGGTTCTCTAGCCAGGCTGTGTTAATTGAAATCAGAGCCCCTTGATTGACAGCTCTATCATCATCACAGTGAGGGAAGGGCAGCTGTTCCCAATAGGATTGGCAGTTTTTAAAAGGAAAGA